CGCCCGGCCTGGTTTTGTTTTTTTAAGGAAAATAACTTCGGCATTGTGAGGATGGATCAAAGAGAAGCAGGACTGGTGGCAGGGAGACCTGCTGGCTACTACATATATATATTCTAATCTAGTCCAAGTTCCATCTTGTCTGTGAAAACCAACTGGTCCAGCTCTCACTGGCTACCACTGTCTCCCATTGGCCAATCTCTGTAACAGTTACAGTCTGCAAGACTGCATCATTTAACACAACCTTAGGCACCTGGCAGGTGCTTGAATATTTGCTGAGGAAATATGTAATCATTTATGTAATTATTACTTCTCTCATGCTGTCCACTCCCCACCTGCCCGACACATGCTTTTAACATGCCCAGAGAGCTGTCACAAAGAACTGGGCCCAAGAAGTCATCGAAGAATGATACAACTCACTGTGTTCTTTAAAGTTTTCACTTGTGTCTCTAGTCCTTTTCTCAGACCTCACTTGGCTTTCCAAATGGCCAGTTCAGCCGCCTCTTCCTATTTCATTCTTTCCTTCCTTTTAATTTCTATCTACTTTCTAATCTTAATGATTTTTACATAGATCCCAAGATAAATTTGTTAGAGGCAAGAGGGAAAAATTCCTTACAAATTCACTCATGTTTGCAAGCCACCTTACTGAATTTCTTTTCACCAGTTGTGTTTATGTCAGTATCTGAGAGTTAAAGTTGTTAGAAGATAATGAGTTATGTTTTCATTTGACTTTAGTATATTAGTGCTTGAATATTTACGTTATTACATGTAAAATCTAACAAATATTTACCCTTCAGATAATTGATTAAGGATTCAGCATAAACTCCTTCTACTAAATATCCTTGCTTAAAAAAATTAGTGTTTAATACTTTTCTTGAGCACTTTAAAAAATCACATGTAATTAATCCTCCCCTAATCAATTTTCATAGCAACTCTGTGGGGTGAAAATCATTGTTACTTTAAAGAGAGTAACAGAATAATGGGATATGCAGATCACATATGAAAATTGTGATCTGGAAATTGTATGAACACATTTCTATGGAACAGTACTCCTCCAAACTTTTCTGATCCTCTTATTATCCTGACAAAAGAACCAGTAAACCACTTATCCCAGCTGTTCTCCTCCCACTTATCCCTATAAAAAGTAAACACACTCCACAGCAGAATGGAAAGCATTACTACTCTGAAATAAAGCCTCAATGAGGTGACGGCTGTCATTATTTTAAGTCTTAAGAGTTATTAACAACAACTATATAACCACAGTCAGCAGGAGGGAACACATCACCTGCTACTCTTCTAATTCCTCAAAAATGTGTGCTGTACTCCACAGTGGTGCCTAAGAATTAACACCAGGAAGCAAGATTCCCAGAGGGTTTCCATACTGTCAGTCAGACTGCCTCCCTCATTACTTCCTGATCTCCAAAATGCTACCTCAGTTATCAGAGAGCACAATTAAAGGATCCAGAGGAGAAGGGACGCCGGGGGCAGTAGGAAGAGAATTATTAAACCTCAATGTTTAGTGTAGAAAGGGGCATAACATACACGGATGAGGGACAAATAAAAAAGAGTGATCAGCACACAGTAGGATTAGACAGGGAAGACTCAGAGATGGACCTTAAACACGGTGAAATTTTATTACTAGATTTCAGTAAAAGGCTACATTTACAAAAGTTAAACTTTAAAGACTTTAAATCGAATGTTTTTAACTGAGAGAAAAATTTTTTTCTAAAAAATTACCTTTCAGTATGGTATCCTGATCTAAATATTTTAAAGCTGCCTAAGGCAAAACTAAAACTGTAATTAAAAGATGTCATCTTATGTTTTTGAAGTTTAAATAAAAATACAGAAACATAATTTCATAAGGCCTTTAAAGTTCGCAAAAAACAAACTCAACTGGATTCTTCTTATGTCAACGAAGGCTTTGCCACAAGATTCAATGACCCTAAGCAAATACACTGCAAATCGTTTAAAGATAGAATACACAAAACTACCAGAAGAAACAATTCCGGAAGTGGATAACTGAGTTACCTTCTGAAACCTTTTGTGTTTAAAGACTATCCTTCCCAAAACCAATCTCCCTAACCCTAAAAATTAAGTTCTGATGCGTCATTTGCCTATCTGTTTTTTCCACTCCACCCCAATGATAAAAATTGGAAAATTCTTGTTTGAAAATATCCGGCAAGAACCGGTGTTCAAGACACGAGGGACCTGCAGAGGAAAGCGGCGTGGTGGGAAGGAGCCCCGAGGTGTCCGGCCTGGCAGTGCCTAAGCAAGAAGGAAGGGGCATCCCTGGGGTGAAAAGCGGACCCAGGCTCCCCCAACCAGCCGCGCCAAGCACAATGCTTTTGTCTGGGCCACGAACGGCCCAGCCCAGGCGCCCAGGTTCTGGGCCCTCGCCCACCCTGCGCATTTGGCACTCGGACGCCTTCAGGGCCCCTTGGCGGGCGCGGGTCCCTCTCGCACCCGGCTTTGCCCTCTGCCTCCTCCTGGCGCCCAGCTCTTGGCGCTACCCACCCCGGCACAAGCTCGGCCGCAAAGTGGGGCTTCGGCCTGCCAGGCTCCGAGGCTGGGTCCCCGCCCGCGTCTCGGCATCCCGCGTCCCCGCGCCCGGGCCCTCGGGGGCTGCCTCACCTGCATGCCCGGAGCCCCGGGGTCGACCCCCGTGTCCAGGACGGCGATGAGCACTCCCCGCCCGTCATACTCTGGGTAGCGGCAGAGGAAGGAGGCGGCCCCGGTCTCTTTCTTTGGCAGGAGACCGTGAAAAGGGAAGGGCTCCTCGGTCGCGGCGGTGGCCATGGACGCAACCTGGAGGACGAGGAAGAGGCAAACTGCCAGGCTGCGCGCGGACAAGCAGCGCGAGGACACCCGCGTAGCCGTTGGCCGTAGGCGGGGGCGGGGGGCGGGGTCGACACGCCTCCACCAATCTCGGCGCGCCAGAGTAAGGAGACCAATCACACGCTGCGACGTAAGCCAACGGCGCCGCTCTCGGGAGCTAGGCCTTAGTGTTGCCCAGGCTGCAGTGAAGGGGGCGGAGTCTGAGTGTATTACTAGAGGGTTCGGTTCTCGAACCTGGGGTCTTAAAGAGACCCACACTTGGGATTTTTAGGAGAGCGTCAGCCTCCTAGCAAAGGCCTTGGTGTCCCGGACCGAAACACTCTTCGAGAGACGGGAAAGGAAATGGACCGCCAGCCTGGAGTAGCGGGAACCTTCCATCTGGCAAACGAGGTTTCCGAACTTGAGGTGGTGGATGAAACTTTTCCGTGCGGCTTGCTGTAGGCGTCCCAGCTCCGGTGTGCTGACCCAAGGAAAGGAACCCTGCGGATATCGGCGAAATCCCTAGACCTACGATTTTGAAAGATCTTAGATTCAGTGGTGTAGGTTTTGGGTTCCCCTGTCTGGTTGTGCCCCTTTGATGGCGGTGGGAGGTCTGGGGGGGGGGAAGATTAGGGTGGGGATAGGCGATAGTTTCAGTCAATAGGAAGTGGGTTGTTGGCCAGTCTGTCGCCTTTGTAACCTGTAGCAAAGCACGAGACTGAAATGGGCCCCTCCTATTCTCATTGCCTACCTTTGGCTTCCGGGCTTTCAAAAAAACATTTTTTTCCCTTCTTAAATTGAAGTTCCTGATTGCTCCTTACGGCTCTCAGCTCAGTTTGCAGTTTTTCGGATTCACAGTGACTGCTATCTATTGCATCAGTCTGCACGGTGGTCCTCTAATGATCTTTATGTCTGCGTTCATGCCAGAGTAATGCCTTTTTTTGTGCCATAAACCCCTTTGGCAATCTAGCGAGGCCTAGAGCAGTGTTTTTAAAAAGATAAAATGAAATATGTAGGATTACAAAGGAAATAAATTATATTGAAATATAGTTACCAAAATATTAAAGCCAACTGTGTTATATAGCAATAGTTTTATATGTGTGTATGTAGTTATGTGTGTGCTTCTTTATGCATTAAATAACAGGAGCTAGCGCCAAGTCTAATAAACTACCATAATTTCAAAATGGTGAAGAACGTAAATATTTTGAAATATCTGTAACAACTGCACTATGATAAGAAACTGATTTTTATTGCTAACGGTAACTAACAGCTATACTGCTCTGGTTATTGCCTACATTCGTAATTGAGGGAAACAAATTTAATTTAGAGGTTACCCCTTGGATTCTATCTATGGACACCAAGTCAAGAATGCCTCGTTTAAAGGGAAGCCCTATATATTGCCAGTTTCCAACCTACAGTATCTAAGAGATCCTCCACGAAGTCTCAAGAATTACTCTAACGGCTGTGCAATGGTTTAAACTGATTCCTTGACCATTTATTCATTCCATAAGCCTTAGAGAAGCATGTTCTCTTTAGTGGAGGGGAAAAGGAGAAAAGTTAATGTTTTCCTTCTTATTCTCAACTATGTTTAAATTATTTCTAGGAAAGAACTTCAAATTAACAGGAAAATAGAATGATAAACTCTCAGAAGACATTGAGTATAGAGTTTATAGTGACAGAATGGAATGGCTCCCAGTTTCAAATGAATAGTCCAATCACTTCATTTTACAGATGAGGAAACAAAGCTGGACAGGTTAACTGACTGCTATGGATTACAAAACGAGTTAATGAAAAAGCTGGATTTCTGTTCTCATGATCTCTCCCCAATATTTTCTACCATACTATGTTGCCAGAGAATCACCCAATGAATAAGTGGGGAATGAATTGTGCAGGATGAAACCTAAGTGGCAGACTTTTTATTATACTGCTGTTAAGTGTTCAAGTTTTTTTTGCTTACATATCTTATAAACATGTTTTAGAAAAATTATCACTTTGTACAGTTATAAGATGAAGTCTAAATTTGTCATAACTTTAAAAAATTATAAAAGACATAATTTCTAGCATATTATAAATATTGGTATTCTTTGATGAAACTTTTACCTCACTCGTTTAAATATAGCCAGTTGAATATAATTCTTTGATACTTACCATTGTCTGTTTATAAAATACCTGCACATGTTCCATTTAAAATCAGCCAGACATTTTATATCACTATTTTTTCTTGAAGCTTTATTTCCATTCTACACAGAATATTATCCTTATGTAATTTGCATTTATAATGGAAAGGCGTATTAATAATTTATCTGCAAGAAAAATAGATATGTTAATATTTTAATTTTTAAAATTTTCCTGGGATCAAAATGTTAAAAGTTTTGAGTTATCTTTCAGTTATTATAAAGTTGATCAAAACATTAATAAGTCTTAAGTTTTTATTGAAAATTATAGAACAAAAGAAGTTTATTGAAAATGCAGCTTTTTAAAAAGATGCATGGTGTGAATAAGTTGCATTAATGACAGGACTAGTTAACAAGGACAAGGTTTCCATGTCTGTTTCTCTTGTAAAATTGGAACCATCAGCTGGTAAGCTCTTAGGAAGCAAAACCGGGATATCTAAGTATTATGTAATATGCCTAGAAGGTGACGTGAACAAGATTCAGAAGCACAGCCACTCCCATTTTAAGAACCACTCATCTGACAAATGTCATCTTTTGCTATAAACTTTGCCTAAATTGGAGAAAAGATGGATTTAAGGAGATGAGCAGCTGTTTGACATAGCACGCAGCAGAGTACTATATGCTGTTATGCTTTGGTATTTATTCTCTAGCACTTGTTCCTCGTAGTAGATTCTCGGATATTTTTAAAAGACTGTAACCTTTTACTAATTGTGGCCTTACTAAAAATTATTTTTTTTCTAACCACCATATGACCACAGAAAAGATGCATGGGATTGGTTATTGGACTCTGATTAAAGTTTTACTGACAGTATTTCAAATTGTTCCTTTATCTGATGCCCTAGAGGCTATCACACCTGCAGGTGGTGCACAATAACAAGATTCTGGATATACATCTTTTTTCTAAAAAGTGGAAGATGGAGATGCAGCTGTGAAATAGGAGATGCAAAGGAGAAGAGATAATATCCCTCCACGACACGCAGGGTCAGGCAGATAGGTTTAGAAAAGAGTAAATATAATGTTTAATCATCTGGAAGTTGATTTTGTTGAAATTATGTGACTTTGTACCACAGTTTGAAAACTGTTATTTTATGTGACTCCTGAAATCACTAACTCAATACAAAGTCATTTACTCTGTCTTCAAGCCATAGTATTCTACATATTATGTGTGTTTACAACATTTCCTTCTTTGATTTAATGACACTTTCAGCTAAGGGGAATCTTTCAATGTTAAGTCAGTTTGTGCAATTTGACAAACAACTTGACCGTCCATTGGATATTGGAAGAAAAGAAATAAAGATGCTTGGAAAAAACAATGACGATATAGACCATCTGTAGTAATAGTAGATAATAGAACAAGGGCTTAGCATGGGGAGAGGAGGAAGGAAAGGAAAAGACAAAACAAGGTTAGTAGACCAAGGCATGTCCCTTTATGTGGGATAAAGTAATAGGCTGGCCGCACGGAAACTTCCCACGCAGCATTGCTCACAGCAGAAGTGCGTGGAGGTGTCCTCCAGGAGCACTTCCTTTTCCCAACACCTGCCCCATTTGAGGCTGCAAGCCAATGCACAGGTGCGGTGAAAGACAATAGTTTCCTAGGAGTCTCCTTCTTTGCAGCTATTGCTGCACCATATCATTTGGAAAATATTTTAAAAATCAGCTTCCCAAAACTATGTAGAGATTGCGCCAACTCGTCCGGCTGCTGATCTTTGACATCTTCCTCAGCACTTGCAGCGAGGCCACACCTCTGGTGGGCGGTTCCCAGTCCATGATTGAGTGCGGTAGGAATACTGGAGCAGATTGGTTCCTGGAGGAAGGGGAACTTCTTTGACAGCTGTCTTAGGCTGGAGGAGTCCCCAAGGGCTTTGCCAAGTTTTCCCTGCACTACATGGTAGTCTAGGACTTTTCCACTCAACCTTCTCTCCCTCTCTCTTTACTCAGGGTCAGACTGGCATCGCGGTCTGATTCCTTTCCCAGCCTTTTGTGTACGTTGCACAGGTACCACAGTAGAATCTTCGGTAGTTTTAATCTTGTCTGGACGTCCCGTTCTTTCAGGACCTGAACTGAAATAGCTCACATCAAAGAAACTGAGGTTCAGATGCCTAAAGCTTCGCCACTGCTGCCCCCTAAAGGCAAAAGCCTACCAAAGATGCCCGCTTCCTAGTCGGTTGAGTCCAAAAACTAGGTGGGCGACCTGATCTGCAAACCTTAAGTCGGGTGCCTGAGCCTAGCTGTAAAGCAGCCTGGGAGATGAAGTTTTGACTTCTTGCATGGAGAGGCAGAACTGACAATATGGGAAAATTCATAGACATAGGAAGGCTTTTCAGGAGATGCCAACAAATCATGACAAACATGCATTATGCCAACATGTATATGTATGTGAGTATATATACATATATTCATTTAGCCTTGAGACTTCTATGACTCTAAATCCTTAGAGTATCTTTGCTATCCTCCCACTTTCTATTCTTTCTACTGCCAGATCAAAGTTGGTGATATAACATCAAGTTCCAGACACTTGAGCCTCCAGTAATAAATGATACACTTGGCAATTGGCCCGAGTTTCTGGTGAGAATGAGAAAAAGCAGACAACATATGAAAAATATCTGCTTGAAAGATACCTTCCTGAAGGCATCCAGGAGCTAACAGTGTGGTGAAGAATTTCTTGAGAAGATGTAATTCTGAGACATAAGCCTAACATTTGAGACAGCTTTGCCTTTCAGGGCTTCTGCTAATTCTTAAAGCTGTAGCTGAGAGAGTGAGAATCTTTTTTACAGCCTTCCAGGGCTATGGGTACAAGGATGAGCCCACAGCCTGCCAAGAGTCGGGGCGGCCATGGTAAACTTCCCACATTTTGGGTTGAGACTGCAAAGAACTGCACCCCAGAAGTAGAAATTACTTGAAAGT